TGTGAACTGGTCGCTGCATTGGAAATCTTCATCCTCTGGAGGACCCAAACACTCACGATAATTCGCGCCCTTGCGCATTCCACTTGGGTACCTGGAAGCAGCCACGTATAAACTGGCTGCGTTATTTATCATCTTTAAACTTAGATGAGTTTCTGAGAAAAAGTAGAATCTGTCTGATTTACAATTTGTGGAGAATGACGTCAAATAAAAATTTTCGTTTTTCGAAACAAAGGATTGAAACGAACCAGACTTCAGTGCCGTGATGGTACGGTGAGCCACTTTTAGCCAGGCAGGGTTTGCTTTTCCCAGGATAGCTTTCGTTCTTTTGACAAGATGGCAAGTGTGCCACAATATCCAGCTCATTGACAACCCGAAAGCTGAAGTTATCATTGCATTCAAGCACAGCTTTGTTGCTCCGTGCAGCAGAAGCGGCGTTTTATCTACATGAATTCAATGGAATCCGTACTGGCCTGATCAAGCAGATGAGTGAGGCAGTCAGCCTAGCAGTAGTTGTTCTCACGCAATGATCACGTTGTACTAGCATTCGAGCGGATTTTCAAGCAACTGACCTGTAGGGAACGGCGACGTCATAGTGCCTTGCAAGACTATAGTCAGCAATACGCGGTTGTCCGAAAGTTATGAGCTTCACTTTATCGCTTGGGCGCAAATGTTCGTCTACAGTACGAAGTGCAGCAAGTGCTGCCAGAGCGCCTCCTAAATTTCACATCTTGTAAGTGCGGAAAAGTACTAACTGTCTGAATGACTCTGTTCTCTGTTTAACAAAAAGGAGGTTCGAAACTTTCGAGTTCAAAATGGTGCTGAGATGTAACTGCATACAAACCACGAACATTTCAGTCACTGTCACTTCTTCTCGAGCTAGCCGCTCCGCCTTTAGTAATTACGTCTGCTGGTTTAGGAGCTAAATCACTTAAGCGTAGCAGGCCAAACGCGGTACGACATTTTCTTAGTTTTGCTTATCCAAGACAAAAACACGCGAAAAGCAGTATTTTCATTCTTTTTGAGTTTTACAGAAACTGTTAGGTCACTTACCTAACGAATGTCCAGTAAATGTAGCTGTATATGTCTTAAAATCTGGATTTTTCAGAACTATCTCAACTCCTGGCCAAATTGTTTTTAACGCATGCGAGAAGTATCGGTTCACCTAAAACAGACATGCAAAAAATGTTTGTATTTTAATCCTACTTTTAGTGAATCAAATTTGACTAATCAGCATTTATTACGAATGCTGTAGCTTGAACGTAGGCTGAGGAAAGGGGAAAGAAATGCTTTTTTATTTATCTTGTGAGTTGTAAAAATGGAAAAGTTGGGTCAAGCTGCGCAATTTCAGCCAAAAATGACACAAGCTGCAACAAAGAACAAAACTTAACTTCCTTAGTTCAAAATTCAGCTAAAAATTCCAAAATTTAATTGAAAGAAAGACCAGCTGTATCAAAGAAGACGGGAAGCACTAAATTACATAAAAAATTGAAAAAGAGTGATGTCAGAGCGCTGAATTCATCTACAGAGTAAAAGCAGTCTAAGAACAACAGCAGGAAAACCTACT